ACACACTCGCGGGTTTCCCCCAGACCAGTAATCCAAACGAAAATATCTTCCCTCCCACTACTTTGATCATTTGCTCCGCTTCCAGAGAAGAGGAAACTTTAAAGGCCTTTTTCTCAAAATGATGACTCTGTAACAGTCATTATATAATGTGACATATTTTGCTTAACCTGTTTCACGCCTTCCCCCCGGTACCGGGCGGATAAACGCGTCATTTGCAGGAAACAACGTCTAAGGAATCTTAATATTGAATAAAACTATGAATGTGTTATATCCATGTAACGGGAAGAAACTCAGCTAACTGATCTTTTTAATATTTTTTTTCAAAAAAAACCCACAATGCTAGCACTCAGCCTCTGAATTAGCCTCGACGAAAAAACGTAACCTACAAAGGCACATAAACTCACTCAGAACTCCCTTATTACTTATCCTAGATGCACAACCAAACACTCTTTTTTGGTGTCCTGGAGACACTGAATCTAACGGTGCCCACCTCAACACTCAGTGATAAACATTCGCGACGCTATCAACGAAAGCGTACATCATCACATGTGGAGCCAAGAAGCTAAACATGTAAATATGGCTTACCTTGGTCAAAAGTGGTCTTCAATGGCATTAAAACGATAAAAAAACGATGCTGCAGTTAATCCATAGGTTCATCCTATGTGTCTGTGCCTTCTTTGAAATTATTTCTGATAATCCATAAGCAATACAACTGCGTTTTAGTTTCCAAACTCCAGAAGGAGACATTCCTCCAGTTTAGTTTCGCTTTCCACACGCGAAGCGGCAACATTTTTTCTTTACAATGTGTGTCTATGTGAGTCTCCTCCTTCGATTATATTGGCTCTAACGGTCACAAGGGTATGTCAACCAACCAGATCGAGCAAGGGGGGCCAGAGATAGGTCAAATCCACCCAAATGACCCCAGATGGCCCAGTTTTTGGCTAAATCTCTCTAAAAAGGTCAAATTTCACTTGTTTTGCATCAATCTTGATACAGGGTACTTATTATATGTTGTACTTTGGATTCCTAAAGCTTTTAGTCTACTAACCCATCATCCAAGGGTAGTTTTCACTATCTGTAAAAAATAATTTTTGGACGGACACTATAATTTACAGTTTTTTACTATGTAAAATCTGAATTTTCTTTAAAATAAAAAACATTTATATTGATTCTGACACTTCTAAATCCAACTCACAGGTTTATCATTACTTTGAGAAAAAAGATTATTAATTTAACCCTTTTAGAAGGGAAGATATGGTCATTTGTTCTGGGAATGTCATTTTCGAGCCTGAGACCTGAAAAACAGGCTCAGAGTGGAACAGGTTAATATTTGGGAGTACAAAAACTATCCTGATATCATTAGAAAGCTAGGAATCTCCTCTTTCCAACAGTGTATACAACTCAAAATGTGTATTCGCGTCAATGCGACTGATTTCGATGGAGCAGGTTTGCATTAGGTAAAATAAAGCAGGCAGACATAACAGGAAGAATATGTAAATGTTAACCCAATCAAATAGGACATTGTCACACCATTCAAATGTATCCATGTAAATTACAACCAATAAAAAAGCTTAGATGTGTTTACTTGTTACGTTGTTTACTTTATTTGTTACGTTGTTCTGTGTGTGTCAGCCGTTAAACCAGATAGAAAGAATAGATACACTTGCAAACAAGTCAGAAGAACCAGTGCAGAAGAAAACTAAATACAGTTAATCTAAACTTACATTTAACAACTGGAAGGTCACATCCCCAGTGGCGACTGGTCATTAGGGGCAGGTGGGGCACAGCCCCACCTAGTGTCAGCAGAAAGTATTACAAATAATGATTACAAAAATGCAAAAAAATAAATAAAAAAATATATAAAATATATTTTAAGATCATGTTTAATCATCTGATTCGTCTGTACATTGCTGTTTTAGTCTGTGTTCTTCTAATTAGTGTGTCTACAGTCACAGTGTGTGCCTATTGAGCTGTTTAGAGCCATGTGGGACAAAACCTGATTATGCCCCTTCCTCTCGCTGTGAAGTCAACGGTGACTGTAAAAACTTCACTGCGCATGCTCAGAGTATTTTGTAATGAAATGTGTGTGGCAAAAAAATAATGACCAGAGGGGCATGGAGCTACCATCCCCGCCATACGTCATCTCAAATCATTCAGAGCTGATTGGCTGTAAGTACGTGTGCCGCGAAAAGTGTGCTGTGTGAAGAGGAGACGAGAGAGCTGCAGGGGCGCGTCCTAAAACCAGGAAGTAAGCACAAAAAAGCAATGAGATTTCTCCAGAGGATTTTAGAAAATAGCTCGAAATAAGATCTGTGGGAAACGTACCTGTTAGATAAATGCACGTTTTGATTAGCCGGATAACATCCACATGTCTACCCTACTTATATAATTTTTTTATCATAAATCTATGGATTAGATTTATGATAGACTTTTGAAACTACAAGAACATAAGGAGGACTTTTACAAAAAAGTAATAGAAATGTTTGTCCAGAAGGATAGGCAAATGGACTTCATCTTCAAGTCAAGGTAAGACCGCCATTTTATTGAAAATGGGATCTTACTAAGAGAGAACAATTCAATATTTAAATGATAAAATGACATTTTTTGGGTATCCTTTTGTTGAACTGTCTGTTTAAAATTAATCGAAGCATCAGACAAAAAAAGCTTTTGAAAATAATATTATATTTTGGTTTAGGTCAAAATATAATATTTGTAAACCTGAAGAGTCAGTGCCAGTGCCTCACCAGCCATGAACCTCACTGCACGTCACTGCAGAAGCTTATATATAGACATCTAAGTTTTTTGTGCCCCACCACTTTTGTACATATAAAAACGCCACTGCACATCCCTGACATCCACTTCTCCGGAGCCTGGACCTTCATCAATCATAGAAGAACCAGCGAAGCGAGAATAGATAAACCCAAAAGCAGCAGCTCTGCGGCCGCAGAGACTGTCAAAACCGCCGCCGCCACCCCCACCGCCATCGTTGAACCGAAACAGGCTGGTTCTGACTGCATGGAGGTTTGTTGTCGGGACATTGAGGCGGGTAAAGCTGTACAGCTAACTGTCGAAAAAAAGGAGACCGCTAGATCGTCTGGGCAAAGAGAAAGGTACTTCAACGCAGAATGGTACAAAAACAGAGAGTGGTTAATTATTTGCAAAACCACTAAACGGGCCTTCTGTGAAATATGCAGATTTGCTGCTGTCAAACGGCTTGTAACTTTCTCAAAATGTGGAGATGATAGCTATGTTAATACCGGAGTTAATAACTGGAAAAAGTGCCCAAGCCTCCATGAACAGTTGTCTCTGACTGTACGATGATCAGCTGATTATGTTGTCCATGAAGACTTCATAGTATGACAGTCCTAAGACTGATGCAGAATCAATAACCCACTGATAAACTGCGATGTTAACAACCTCATGATAACCTCATATGTTTTTAACTTAGGATCATAGGCTACCTGTGTTTAGTCTAGAAAAAGGTAATTGTGTGCATTTTATTATAAAGTTGTGTATATTTACAGACTGTTGCAAAAACTAATAAGCTTATAAACATAAGGTTTAAAACTAAAAGAGCTTTACAAAAAAGTAACACAATTAAAGATGTTTGGAGTTTTATTTGAGTTATTAATTTACATTTTTTGTCAAAGAGATGCTGATTTGAAACCGTTGTAGTTACGGCATTTCCTGTTTCTGCCGGAGAGAGGGGAGTTTGTCCCAAAGCTTGCCGCTGTCTCCCTCCATCTGACAGGAGGGAGCCTCATGTGTCACTCCACGGAGTTCACTCCGTCCCGGAGGGGGAGTGTGTCGGGCGTAGTTTGGGATTGGGCCATACACACGCACTTTTTTGGCCCCCCCACTTCTAAAATGAATCCGGCGCGCCTGGTTTGTCTCACTCTTAGACCAGCAGGGGTACCACATCTATGCAGACTGCTGCAATAAGTACATTAATTAACTGTCTCGTCGATGTTTGTCTAAATTAATATGATACTATTAACAATCATATTATTCCTATCAGCTGTCAATCACTGTTATGATTCACATATTCATTTATTATTGAATAAACTATATTTTTTGGAGGAGTTGATGATGAATGTTCCTCAAGATGCTTGCTCACCCTCCTTCAAATTTGAAAGACAAATAATTACTATCATATATCATAAGAATCAAAAGAACAGTTCAACGCCCCACGACTTTACTGCAAACAGTTACAACCTGGACTTTACATCAGAAAGAACAAACATTAAAGAAGTGACTAACTGCATCAATTAGGGTTAAAAAACGTGTATTCAGCTAAAACATATACATCGCTGCAGTTATTATCCAGTGGAAAGTCCTTGGCCTAGTTAAATCAAAGTGGTTACTTTTTTTTGGCTGGGCAGTGAAGTTTTACACACCTTATTTGACTCTCTCAGGACTTGAAACTGTTTTTTGGGGGCAGACCCCCACTTATACACACGTAAGGTCATCATCTTAACAGTTGTATATGCTCATCGAGTCATCCGTGAGCAGAGCATCAAGTTGGCATGCCTATTACAGCTGAATGTGGCGATTACCATCATGTTCAGCAAAACGCCTCACAAACTTATTAAGATTTAAAGCTTTAGTGCATTTTGATTCAATGCTGAGTACAGCCAAACTTGACAGTCTCTTCTCTGTCATTGTAGACCGCAAATACCTCATTCCTTCCGTCTTCTTGGATCCGAAATGCTTCTCGTTTTGCGCTGTCCCCCGTTCAAATGAAATCGCCGCCAATCATATTTCCAAGCTCGCGCCAGGGCCGGGGGAGGGGTTACAAGGCTCGCGTCTTGTGCTGCATTCACTTGCACTCGGATATTAGAGATTTTCTCTCATAAATGTCCGATGAGCCACAACTTTTCTTTCAAAACAAAGCTGCCAACTGGGGTGGCAGCTGGGGTGGCAAGGCATTTTTCTGAGGTGGCAGCTGCCACCCCGTGCCACCCCGTAGAACCGCCACTGCCTCCCTCTCACTATCCTGCTCAGTGGACCAGAACCTGGTGGACGGTCTTCTGCAGGTTCAGTCCCCTGAGAGCGGAGAAGGGAGGGAGGCCTTCGAAGCCCAGCAGCTGGCGGGTGGAGGACTCCCAGCTGAATCCAAACTCCAGCCGGCTGTAGACACACGGGTACTGCCGGTCCGCCCAGCAGACCCAGTCCACCGCCCTCTTCACCTCCTCCCAACGCTCAGGCCTGGAGGAAGAAGAAGAAAGTCGATATGAAAACCGGTTGCCACTCTGGATAGAGTGACAGCTAGTCTCCAAAAATCACCCAGACCCTACCAAAGAGCCTTTTCTACACTTCTTGCGAGACGTTTGATTCTTCTAAAATGGAAGCAACATTCCCCTCCATCCTTTTCTCAGTGGGTCAAATATGTTATGTACTTCTTACAGTTAGAGAAAATTAAGTTCTTACTCAGGGGCTCCTCTAACACCTTTATTAGAACATGGAAACCCTTTCTGGACTTTTATGACTCCTTACAAGATTGTTATGGCAGAATGTTTAATACAGCGTATTTATGATATTCATTAATGATCACATGGTATTCCATATGATGTGTGTTACTGAGTTGGGTCACACACAGTTAGAGAGACAATGGTCGTTCTGAATTATCAATAGATGTATTCATTTTAAGTGAGCTGACACCGAGGGTATAGGAAGTGCAGAGAAGGCCTCGGGTTATAAAAACAGTTAACCTTTGTTAGTTAACTAATCCTAAAGATGTCATGAGATGATGACGTTTAAACATATACAGTACAGGTATAGCTTTCAGAGAGAAAAACATGTGACATTTGTGTGGTTGGCTGCATGATAAAATGTGTGTGCGTTAAACATGTTTGGGGAACATGTTCGTGTGTCATTTAGAAAAGTATATCTAGCCCTGTGTTTCTTCTGTTCTTGGGGGCATTTCCGCGATTGGCTGCTGTGGCAGCAGGTGATGTACTTCCCATTATTGTTTGTTTGTTGCAACAACTAAATAATAATTACTTATCAGCTATATCTGTGTTTGTGGAGTATTGGTTCCTCTCTGTTTCATTCTTTCCTGTTGTGTGAGTGCTGGATCTCCACAACAAGATCCACTTGATAAAGAATAAGGTTGGATTGAGTAACTCAATGGGTTAATGCAGGGGTCTCAAACTCAAGGCCCGGGGGCCAAATCCGGCCCGCAACTTCATTTTATGTGGCCCCGCAAGAGCTTACAAAGAATATAATACGTTTATTATACGGTTACTGCCACTTTACAGAAGCAGGTTGCCCATAAACTACATGTCCCACAATGCATCACGTTTTGTGACATGCGCATTGAAGAGACTTGCAATTATTTGCCCTGGACTTCATTCGTTCCCGCAAGACATAATGCGGGAATGTGAGAGCAGACAGGTGTCGGTGCTTGCATTTATCAACAATGTTGCACAGTACTTTTGACAGATGTGTTTCTTGCATAAATACAATATCTCCACCTTGATGTTTCATTTGTATAAGCACTTTTTTAATTGGGTTGTTTAGGCCATGAAAGGTGGGGTAGGTAATTTTGGAGAAACCAGCTCGAGTGCGCTAGATTTTGAAAAAGCCCCTCCTCCAACACACACGAACGTGCACATGACCAATGAGGGCACGAGATAAGTTTGTGCACAGATGGAAGGCTGACAGGCAGGTAGGCCATCCAGTTATTTTAGCAGGGCCGGCTAAAATGATTGGTCGTGCTTTTACAGTACTACGGCTTCCACAGATGACATTTTTTTATGGATTTTTTGTCAAAGCACTTAAGATATTCATTGCTATCGGGATGTTAAGAGCATTCCATGGAATATAACAAAAAGTGTATCTCGAGCCGGTTTCTCAAACTTACCTACCCCACCTTTAACTAATAGTGAAATTATATTAATGTTCATAGTTTAAATTCTGGTGTTTTTTGTGTTGTAACAACTCTCCTTTACACATAGTTCTCCAATCACTTCTCAAAAATGCACCTTTTAGAGCTTCTAAACCTGTGTACATAATTTGTATCACCTTTCTTGTATTTCCCAACAGTGCATCCATACTTAACCCTGCACGGGTAAACTGAAAATAATGATAACACATGTGACAACAGAACAAGAGTTGAGAGTCAAGACAAATTCAAATAAGCTTTATTGACATGCCCATATTAAAAACATACTATTGCCAAAGCACATTGACAATACAGATTTAAGACTGAAACAAGTGAGATAATCAAGTCCATTGTGTTAAATAGAGACATATCATCCTACAAAGCCATAAAGATTAATAATATTCTAAATGTATTGATCCTGTATAGATCTGTTTTACTGGTTAATAAAAAGAGAATAGCATGACATTGTTGTGAAAGCAGGGATCTTAATTTTAAATGCTGATAAACACAAATGTCTTTCCTCTGAAGTACTCTGTATGCTGCTGATCATAAATATAAAAAGTGCACATCATTCAAGACAACTTTCAGGGAGGAGTTGTTCACTTTGAGAAAAAAAGGTGAAGTGGTAAAGCTGCTTTTTATCTGATAACAGCAATGTGTTGAAGTGGAAGAGCTTTATCTTGTCAGAGAACATGTAATACACCCACAATATTTTTTTACGGTTTTTATCTTTGTATGCATGCTCAACGAAAGTTGCCATTTTCTGATCTAGCTATATCTAATTTGCCCATTTACTAAAGGTCTGTAATTAACTTCAAATAAAAGGCAGTTTACTTTTTTAATGAATCATGAGCAAATCCTGCAGTTAAAGTCCCAGATTATTATTGTGATAAACATACGTACATGTTTGTATTAATTTACAGCACTAGTTCTTACAGTATGTACAAAGTGGCTGGTACCTATGCATGTTAAATACCTGCAATAGATTTGTACTCACATGGCCACAAGAGGTCATTGTTAGGAAACATACTGTATAAACACACAGGCTATTTTACACATTTGAACAAGTTAGACCAATGCTGAGACTAGAGTATTGTTGTATATTTCTGAATTATTCAATAATGTTTGACAGTTTTTATTCTTCTTATTTATATCATATTCTGCTCAATAAGGCACCTTCAATATTATAGCTTTCAGGAACTGTGGGCTTATCAGCAGATGTTTTTAGGAAGCTGTTTTTATGTTGATATGTAAAAGGATTATTACAAATACTAATTTAATTGAGTCAAATAAAAGTTGGCAAAAACATATTAAATGACTATTTATTTATTGCTGATATTAGTTTGAAAAAAAAACAAAAAACTAATTGTGATTTTGCGAGTCATGAAACGTAATTCTTATTCATGAAATCAGGCATTTTGAATAGTTTTAAATAACTCAATTTAAAATAAATTGTAAAAGCACGATTGCATGTTTGGTATCCAAACAGACACCAATGTTAAGCTTCTTTCTCACAGATCCAATGCAGATCGTGCTCACAGGACGCGTCGTTCCACCTTTTGGTGTCAGGTTTGATGTGGGCACAGTCCTCTCCTTTCTGATCATTAGGCTCTCCTTCTATCCAAAACCTAACAGGTATTACAGGAAAACAAGATGAACTAAAAGATTGGACATCAAATACAAATAACTATAAGTAATACAGCCATGTTCTTTTCTTAAAACCCAAATGAGTCTTCTGGTGAAAGGGGCAGACACCCTACGTTTAAATGCATCCTGTGTGTTGTGTTAACTCCCATTACAGAAACATGTGAAACATTTAGAAAGGTCACAACATAAACCAGCGTCTGTATTTAAAACCAAAGTAAAGCCTTACGTCAGGGTCAGTGGAGATCCATCCACCCATTTCCAGGTCCCCTCCTCTTCTCTGTCACTCAAACCAATCCAAGTGTCTTTCTTGGTCATGCTAGTTATGATTTCCTGTTCACATATTAAAAATGCAGTTTACTGGGATGGACATCAACATTCAGATAACTTTTCCCTTTTTACTAGCTCAGAAATATGTAACCAACACCATTGTTGTGATGTAATCATTATAGCTGATAGACACATTTGCTAGTATATGTACAATAAAAACATTATTGATTGATAAAAGCAGGAGTTATACAATCACAAGTGTTAAAGCAGCACACATTACCTGTTCTTCCTCACTGTCTACGATCACCAGATGTGCTCCTCTGGCTGTGCAGTTGTCTCTGCTTTGTTCCCATGAACGTTTCTCAGTAGAGAAGAGATAACAGGAACTATCAAACTTCCTCCATCCTTCAGGACACGATTTCTCTGTAAAAGTAGTAAGATCTTGTTGATTTACTGCTTTAACTGCTGAAATATGGAACTCTTGAGTGCATTATATGTCACTTTTGTAATAATAATGAAAACAAATATTTATTAAGCATTTTTAGAGGGATCAAAAGAGATCACACATTTCATTGCAGAACAACTACTTCTCTTTTTTGGGATTTAAATAACTGTTTGGATGTGATCTAGTCAGGCACCACAGCACTGAGACTGATCTTGTTAAAGTCTTCAATGACATCCACTTAAACACAGACAGTGGCAACATCTCGGTGTTAGTTACTAGACCGACTGGAAAACTGGGTCTGACTTTCGTCAACAGTTCTAAATTGGTTTGAAACCTTGTTATCCTTTATTATTATTATTATGCTGCAAATATCTGGAACAAACTACCTCTAAGTTCTTCTTCCTATTGCTTATATTAAAGTAATTTAGACAAGGAAACTGGCCATAAGCATAGTTTACAGAGAAATATAAATATGGTGGGTGAAGAAAAATAAAACAAACTATAAATGAAATCACTCACAACTAAGTCATTAAAAACCAATTCTTAATTATCATTAATGAAAAGTTTCATTCTGTAACTATGTTATGAAAGGATCAATAGTCAGCCTTAGAATATCAATATTGAGGTATTTTGCAAAACATATTATGATAATTGATATCTTACACATACCGAACCCTATGCAAAGCCCCCCACATGAAGCACTCACTCAAAGACTCAACCTCTCTGGTCTTTTCAGTGAGGTTGGCCTTCAGCTGGTTGATCAGCTGATCTCTGGCCTGGAGACGCTCAGTGAGGTTGTCTCTCTCTTCAGTCACTGAGGACAGGTCTGCTTTGACAGCGGAGAAATCTGCAGCGGCACCACCTACTGAGTAATGGTCTGAAATGAAAATAGATGTTTCTTATTACCTGATGCAATCATACTGACACAAACCAAAGTCAATATTTTCCTAATTTGGCCCTAGGAGAAAAGTAGAAAAACGATAGATGTTTTGGTCAAATGTGCATCTTTCAGAGCAGAATATTGCTCCTTAAAATCACACGTTCAAAATGACATTATTAAACGTATTAAAAGAAAGACTCACAGTGGACAGCGAGGCCGATGAGTCCAGCCAGCAGGAAAACACTCAGCAGCCCCAGACCGAGAACAGACGCTCTGAGAAGTCTCCTGGGACCTGAACACAGAGAAGACCAGGGAGTAAAAAAGTACAGTAAATCCAAAATCCACAGTGCACTCTGTCTGACACTCTTACCTTCTTGTATTGTTGATGATCTTGAGCTTAGGGTTTTGACATCAACAGCATTGTCATAGATTTTCTCCATTGCTCATGGGAATGCCAACTCTTTCCTAGAAGGTCAGCTCTGCAGCAAGTATCCTGAAGTATGTGACTGGGGAAAGTGTGGTTGCTGGTTTGAATTTCTAAATGCTTTATCTTTTTGAGGAAGTCACACATCATTTGAGGAAGTCACACATCATTTGAGGAAGTCACAGGTCATTTTACATATAAAAAAAAAGAAGAAGATGATCAGGAAATACTAACTTTATTGATATGAAAATATTAAAAAGCACAGTGACAATAAAAATGTAAGACTGAAACAAATGTGATAATCATGTCCATTGTGTTAAATAGAGACATATAATCTTACAAAGCCATAAAGATTAATAATATTCAAAATATTCCTGTAAAGATCTATTTTACTGATTAATAAAAAGAGAATAGCATGTCATCATTGTGAAAGCAGCTACAAATATTTGTTGGCGTGAAAAGCTGGCTCTCTTGATGGCCCAAGGCACAAGACGAACTGGCACAGATATAAAGAATATTATTCTGTTAATGTAATTTTAGTTTCTGAAAGTTGAGACAATTTAAGTTACCTTTTGTTGAACTACTGTATGCCCCGCTCACACGGGACCGTTTGCGTTTATGCACAGTATGTGTATTCAAAAAAGTGTTCCGTTCACATGCATTTGTTTCATTTAACGTGTCTGTTCAAACGAGACCGCTGGAAACGCTGTAGTACATATGCCGGGACTGTAAGTGGCGCTGTAACTTCCGCCACAAAATACACCAAAAGCAGTGAAGAAGACTCCGCAGCAGCCCCGCAGCAATGTTGCCATGGCTACCCTTCTGTTTACACCCCACCGTGGATTTAGCAACATGTAGTTCATGTAATTCTCCATGTCCACTTGTTGCTGATGGTTGTGGTAGAGGAGCTGTATATGTTTGCACTAATATCTGTAGCATGGTCAGTAGCAGTAGCACTAGCAGTAGCTACTGACAGGAGGAGGAGCATGTCTCCGTGGAGAGGACTCGCTCAGAGAGATATTCTCTACAAACACCGGGTGAGATCCTCCTTTGTCAATATAATGGATCAATGCATGAAATCTGACTCTGTTTATTTTGTTTAAGGAGTATATTGGGCGTTAACAATTCTGGTTTGCCTTTTATAATATTATTTCATTCAAGAACCCCTTGTGCGTTTAATTAACACAGCCATGCTACAGCAGTGAGCAGGAGAGGTGGGGAAAGGTGGGGCTATCGTTATTTTTTCAGGAAATATTCGTATAGAGGTGATTACACGGACTCGGTTGACCCCCCAGAGCAGTTTTCTAGGCGCCGTTTACACAAGGAGAAAACTGCTTGTATCTGCATAGTTTCGCGTGCGTATAGCCCTATTATTTACACGAGGCCGATAGAAACTGACCCCACAAACGATAACGAGTCCCAAGGTGGATAGATTTGCAAACGAAACGCTCTGGGGGGTCAACCGAGTCCGTGTAATCACCTCTATACGAATATTTCCTGAAAAAATAACGATAGCCCCACCTTTCCCCACCTCTCCTGCTCACTGCTGTAGCATGGCTGTGTTAATTAAACGCACAAGGGGTTCTTGAATGAAAGCCGTACTGCAGACGCCAGCTGATGCGCCACAACACCACTTCAAGCCCGGTGACTGGGTAGTGATCAAAGACTTCAGGAGGAAACACTGGAAGCAGCAACGGTTCCAGGGAAGTGGCGTGCCAAGCTATCAACACACGCATCAGAGGGTTGTGTTGTTCAGAGAGTTATGTCGCATGTTTTCCGTTTCCTCATATAGGCTACATGTAAATAAAAGTTTTACACAGAAAAAAGTTTTACATATGTATTTTTGATCCACACATATTTGTTTTCCGTTTAAAACCGCTGCACCTGCAAACACAACCCGCTTTCTGTGCATGGATCGCTGTGCATTCATGTGTGGGTTTTTTGAGACTCCCCTGACGGTGACCCGATTCGTACTTGTACTTTGTTCTATATAGCCAATCAGATGTCTCCTCCATTACATTACATTACATGTTAGACGCTTTTATCCAAAGCATACATACTCAATATACTGTGGACAATCCCCACAGGAGCAATTTGGGGTGAAGTGTCTTGCCCAGGGACACAACGACATGCTGAGTGCAGTGGGGTTTGAACCTGTGCTCCTCTGAGCCGAACACCAACGCACTAGTCCACTGCGCCACAGCCTCCCCATTCTATATACACACACACAAACTAATTTTGCAGACCCTATCCCTCCGTAGTCTTTCAAGTAGGAGGAGAAATGCCAGCGTTCTCCTCCGGTTTACAGGCACTGTGTAAATTATATATATAGAATAATTATGATGATGAATGCATTTTTTTACCACTAAAATACAGCAACACATCTTTGATTCATGTCGTTTATAACTGGAATATTACAGTTATTATTAACTTTGTCTGTACAAAGTAGCCTGTCCAGGAAATATGCCCAAATCAACAAAAACTGCGAGCCGGCAGGCAAGACGCTCCGCTTCTGAAATGCTTCTGAAACGCGCCTGGTAGGGTATGCCGGAGGAGGCTGGACCAAAACCGCGGCGCAGCCGTGACGCGGCGCAGACGGACCCGGTGGAATCTAGGAGAAGGGTCTAGCTGCGGCCGCGGCCAGTACACGACACTACACGACACGCCCACTACACGACACGCCCACCTGACACGACACTACGGTGGCTGAGAGACATTACCGTACATGGCAGATTAAAAGCGAATTGACGACACTGACGCTGACGAAAGGATATTTAAGGAGACATGAGGTTTACAGAGAACAGACAAACAATATGGCGCACCGAGTACAGGTAATTAACGTATTGTGGTTTTAGATATAATTACATACTATTTAGGTTCTCGTTTGTTTGTCGATGTGGCTGTTTAGCGCAGTGTAATTGTGTTTATTTTGCTAATTTGTATTTTAAATATTAAATGTAAAGGAATGGAATACATATAAATATATATATATATATATATATATATATATATATATATCTTAGCTCTTAGCTTGACATGCTCGACGTTCAGTTAGCATATATGCTAACTGAACATGCTCGTTCAGTTAGCATGTCAAGCTAAGAGCTAAGATATATGTATATATTTTAGCTTGACAGATGGAACAATGCATGTCCTCGCATTTTTACAAGAATCTGATTTTGTGTAAGTTTTAAATATTCATTGAAGGTGTCTTTCACATTTGAATGTTTTAAAAAAACAAACATGTATTAGCTGCTATACTGACATGCACATATGTATAATTATATTATTATTTTAAGTGTGGTTTAAAGTTAAATGATATATAGTTATTGGGTAGAGCCAAGTAACCCAGGTGGATGCAATCAGGCCTCTGTTTTTAGATGGGGTTTGTGGCCATGCTGTAGGCCTGACATTTAAACCATAGACTGTATATATAAAGATGTAAACTAGCTGAAGGGCTTTCTGTTCGAACCACAGTGACATCTAGAGGTTGTTTTGTGCATAACATGTCAACCAAAAGGGTAGAGCTGGCTGACAAGATATCAAGACACAAAATGTGCTCTACCAAATGGTGGCGCTGGCAGTTAAAGGGTTACCTTCTGAAAGTGAGGAAGTATGACCAGCTTTGTCCCATAGGATTATACAGGCCAGTCCATTGCTGCTTGTTTAAGGAGTTAACTATTTCCAATATTAAAGTCACTGAAATTGCATTCTATTTTATTCACCTATAGACAAACAACACAACACTCCGTGATGGAGCACGCCCAGAGCTCAACAAATTGGACTCGGACACCTTCCAGTGTCCATTTTGTGAAAGGACCGGGTCATACCCTGGTCTGATGGCTCATTTGCAGAGCCACCAGAGGGCACTTGTGAAATATGGAGGTAAGTACATCTATAATTCAATATGATCATTGTATACTTCATCACATTACATTACATGTTACTTGTTAGATGCGTTTAATGCCTCACACATTATGGATACATGTGTTATTTCTGTGCCCCAGGACATCCTTGGTGTAAATTAATTTAGAATTATAAATTGAACATTAAAAATTAGATTTATATTCAGGTTATGAAGTGTTAATAATGCTGGAAAAGTATCCTTATTTGGGGTAGGCACAATATGAGCATAATCACACATTCAATCTGCAAAAATTCAGTTTATAGGCAAAAATATTATTGTTGGTGACATGATTATTTATTGCTCTCGCACAAACACCTTGTTTCAAATTGCATATTTACAAGAAATTCATGTTGGTTTGTTTCTAGAATCCTCTAAACCACTTTCTGTCTCTTTTTTTAGGTTATAATGTTTATAAATGCCATCTAAAATGTGTGGCCAGTAGCCATTATCACTGTGGCTTTTGCCCAAGAATCATTGGGAGAAAGGAGATGTTTATCAGTCACTTTAAAAACTGCTGCACTGAACATCCAACTACGTTGGCGGCGGCCCCAGCAACCACAACGACTCCTCCAGTGATGGCCCCGACGACCGCTCCAGTGATGGCCCCGACGACCGCTCCAGTGATGGCCCCGACGACCGCTCCAGTGATGGCCCCGACGGCCGCTCCAGTGATGGCTCCGGCTGCTGCAGCAACACGCCACAATATTTCCACAGCCCCCAACATTTTGATGTCAAAGCGCAAAACAACAACATGTTGTTTTTGTAGCCTACAATTAAAAAGGAAAAACCTACAAATGCACATACAAAGGCACCACTCATCCAAAACATCGGACATCACAGCAAATCGCCACCTAAAATCACAGTGCGTAGATCAAAAAAGGGGACTTTTTGCAGTTTCCAGGACCTTTAAGGGTGCTGTGCACTGTATTCATGTCCAAAAATCTAACTTAGGTATCACCTGTCAGTTGGAAATGTGCAACAGGGCATATGACTATGCACGGAGAAGTGGGCTAGTCGGGTTTGACTGCGTCCATGTCCAGTCCTTGACGTACAGCCCTCTGGTCACCAATTCACCTATTGTTCACGATGAAGGGATTCTCACAGACATGGTAGTGAACAAGTGGTTTAGCAAGAACACAGAGAGTGAGTGTCTGAGAAGGAAGCTGGCTGCTGATACAGAAGGTGCACCACTGAGTGTTGAGGTGTACCTTAGCCAAGAACATGGGCACATTTATTTTTCGGTTTTGGAATCACACATCTCCTCATATTCTAGATTGGGGAGGGTCATGGTCCACTATGACGATAATAAAAGTACTTGGCATTGCCCTTGTACCAAGCCTCGAAAATCCTGCCCACACACATCAATTGCAAAGTGGCACCTGCAACAATCCAGGCCTGACTTTTTCAAGAAAATGCAATCTTGTCACGAAGACTCTTCCACAACATTTTCATCTGAGGCAGCACCTATGGTAGATGACCAACAAGCTGAAGATATTCCTCTATATCCTCCAGAAGGAAAAGCACTAGTGGAAATGGTAGAGTACCTTATATCCCACAAAGCCCTGCCAACAATCCTTCCAAGAAACTTGGCATCATTACAGTCATCAGAAGATATGCCAAGGCACTTGGTTCCACAAGAGAATTATTGCCACAAGTGTCCAGGCAATGTCCCTCTTTCTGAA